AAACCTTAAGAATAAATATTTTTTTTTAAAAAAAGACATTTACAGTTTGGTCACAATGTAGAGAAATGATGAATTCAATTATTACCTACAATATACTCAGTAGGTTTGTAAAAGGGTTTACAGTTTCTGATGAAGGACAAAGAACCAGGGGTGAAGAGTAGAATGATATGCTAAGGAGGTAGGAGGTGAGATATAGAATTATTATATCTTAGGAAGTGTGAAAGAGAAATCTAAAGAGGAAGATTAGTAGTAGGAGAAGGGAGAGGAAGTAATTTTATGTAGACAAGTAATTGGAAAGACAGTAGAGTACATAAAACAAACACACACATATATATATATTAAGAAAAATTTGTTAAATGTTAAAATAGTAGAAAGTGGTGGGGAAAATGAAAAAAAAAAAGAATATACAACACAATTATAATATACTATTCAGATGTCCCAGTCCTCATAATCCTAATTCATGCAAAGTACTCGGTTTCACATATATTGGGGATGTGAGAGTAGGAGAATAGAGAGGGTGAGGGGGGAAAAAAATCTTGAAGAAAGAAACAGCATTGTTTTGGTTGGAGAAACAGGGATTGTTTTCCTGCTTCCCTTCTCATCCAATAGGTGGGATCATCTGTTGTTAGCTAGTATCTCCGCCCTCAGGATGGTGAAGGTAACCAAGGTATCACTGTGCTGGAGAAGCAGTTGCTGGGGAGAGGGGGGAGTTAGAAACTGGGTACTTGACCAGCCAGAGTTCCAAACTGGGAGTTGCCTCCACTGAAGATGTGTGATTAAGGTGGCCCAAGATGGAGACGCCTTCTGTTAACAGTGAGGTGTCGGATTGGGTCGGGGGAGCTGGGCGATGGCGTTGGACTATGAGTTCAGAGAAGAGCTCTGTGGTGCTCAGTGTGTGGTTGTTGGCTGACTTCAGAGCCTGTGTGAGGTTTTCGGGTACAGGCAGGCTACTATGCGCAGGGAACTATCTCTGCTGCTGAAAAGTCCCAATATGGAGGCCACCAGGGAGTACCACGTTGGTAAATGGGAGTCCACACAGGAGTGATGGTGGGAGTTCCTCCTCCTGTGAAGCTGCTGGATGTCCTGCATGGGAGCAACATCTGTGATTTCTGCTTGTGTGGGTGGCTGAAAGTTCTTTGCAGGTACTGGTGCTACCAATGGTCTTGATCCGGTACCGATAGTCTTGCGTGGGTGAGTAGTTGGGAGACCTACTCTGAGGCTGAGGCCTGGAGCCCTGGACTACCTGGTGATTCCTGCAAGGGGGCAGGAATATTGCTTGCAGAGAAGCAGTATTCTCACTATGTGAATTCCAGGTCATAAAGCAACACAGAATGCTGCCTCCCTCTGGCCTGCCATCTTGGATCCCTAGTGCTTTCCTTTCTTGTGTGAATTCTGATAAGCTCATAAAAGTCCTACAAAAATCTCTAAATCAATCTCTATTCCTTGTATTTGGTACAAATCATAACACAAAATCTGATGTGGAAGTTTCCAAACCTGAAATTTTGCTTACTTGAAACCTAAACATTTGAAATTACAGTTTTGCTTGTTTTTCTGCAGCAACATTTCTCCTCTGAAGCAACACATCTACCACTGAATAAAAGGGAGGAAAGTCAGGTGGTATAAAGACTGCATATCTCTGTGTCCTTATGCAGATGGGTGAAGGTGATGAGAAGCCTGAGTAATATCTGCAGATGTTGCATCCATTCCATACCAGATGATTAGGTCAAGCCAATCAGCAGCTTTCCTCTGATGACTATTATTGGTCTAAGAGTGACCATTATAGCTAAATAGTCCAAAGGAAAGGATTTATATCTTTTGTGGAAGGCGGGTTTTCTCTTTCCTCCCATGGATGTGAATAGGGTCTGAAAGCCATCTTGGGATCATGAACAGAACATCCTTGGGACAAAGCTCCCTCTAAGGAAGAAGGCTGAGCAGAGCTATGGACAGAGCCTGGGTCCTTGATGGCATCATTAAACTGCTGAATCAGCCAACCTCAGAGCCCACCTCCTACCTCTGGCTTCTCGTTATTTGAGATATTTTTTTCTTCCCTTTTAAGCGTATTAACTGTTCCTTGCAACATAATGCATTCTGATATATTCTGTATTTCCAAGTTCCGATGGCACTGGAACTTTAGACTTATGGATTCAACTGCTTATCATCCCTTCCTCTTGGCTGTCCCACTGTGTCTAATATTCCATAAGTTTAAAACTGACTTTGTTAACAAGATCATGACATTTGCAGGCAAATGGATGGTATTAGAGCAGATTATGCTAAGTGAAGTTAGTCAATCCCTAAAAAACAAATGCCGAATGTCTTCTCTGATATAAGGGGGGTGACTCAAAATGGGATAGGGAGGAAGAGCATGAGAAGAAGACTACCACTAAATAGGGAAGAGAAGGGGAGTTGCACAGAAGATGGAAGGAAAACCTCATTGTTATACAGAATTTACATATATGATGTTGGGATGAGAAAAAGAAAAAAAAAGTGTGTCACATTAGATTGGATAGAGAAAGGATGGGAGAGGAAAGGAGGAGTAGGGGGGATAGGAAGGACAGCAGAATAGAATAGACATTATGATTGATGCATGTACATTCCATGTATGTATTATATGTCAAAATACATTCTGCTGTCATGTATGACTAAAAAATAAATAAAAATAAATCATATGGTTAAAAAAAAAACCTGACTTTGTCATATTGGCCTCCGCTCCCTCCCCCAGCTCCAATTTTTCCTTCTTTCTGTGAAAGGTGCTAACTTCTATCTGCCTGGCTGTCCCAGAATATTTCTCAAATTCCTTTCTGACTACCCTGTTCATCATCATCTCTCCTTCTAATTCTTTCTACACATTTTTTTCACCAGCACAATCTTTCTAAAATGCAGATCTGAATATTTTATTCTCCTCTCAAAACCCTTCCTTACATTTCTCCCCTTTTCCTTAGGATGAATTCTGAATGACTCAATATGGTTTATGATTTATTTTGGTACTGGGGATTGAACCCAGGGGTGCTTAACCAGTAAGCCACATCCCCTTTTTATTTTGAGAAAGGGCTTTGCTAAGTTGCTTAGGACCTCTCAAAGCCTTGCTGAGTATGGTTTTGAACTTGCAATCCTCCTGCTTCAACCTTTGAAGTTGCTGGGATTACAGGTGTGTGCTACTATGCTCTGCAATATGGCTTATTACATATGACCAGGCTCCCATTTTGTCTTTCTAGCCTCAGCACTATTTCTTCCTTTTTATCCTTCACTCATGTTTTTAGAACCACTTTCAGTCTTCAAATTGTTCTTACTGCCTGGCTGAGTTCTCGACCTAGTTCTCCTGCTCATTCACCAGGGCTCAATGTGATCTCATCTCCCAAAGCCCTCCCTACCCTGAAAGACTGGGTCAAGAGCCCCTCCTAATGTTACTGTACCAGCGCTCATGGGGCTGGCATTTTCTCCTTATTTATCTATCACCCCAGATGTGAGCTCCTAGAAAGCAGAGATTCTGAGGCTGGGTCTGTAGCTCAGTAGCAGAATACTTACATAGTAGGGTGTGAGGCACTGGGTTCAATTTTTAGCACCACATATAAATGAGCAAATAAAATAAAGGTATTTTGTCCATCTACAACTAAAAAAAAACTTTAGACTCTTATTTTATTTATTTTTATGTGTGCTGAGGATTGAATCCACATGCTAGGTGAGTGCTCTACCGCTAAGCCACAACCGCAGGCCCCCCCCAATAAAGAAAGAAAGAAAGAAAGAAAGAAAGAAAGAAAGAAAGAAAGAAAGAAAGAAAGAAAGAAAGAAGAGATTCTGCCTTATTCTATAATTGAATGGAGAAGAAAATCTTAAACCTGGAGTGGATTTTTACTTGACAGCAGAGTTAGGCTGGAATGGAATTGGAGGACAGCATGGAAATAAGACATTTCAAGCAGTGTGTGTGTGTGTGTGTGTGTGTGTGTGTGTGTGTGTGGTGGGGATAGCAGAATCCAATTTGCTGTCCAAGTGTATTGAATAGATTTGGATGGGTGGCAGGGGAAGGCCAGGGAAGGAAACCATTGATAGTGTAGTTAATGTAACCCAGGCAAGAGATGATGATAGCCAGACTAAGGTGGTGATAGTAGGAAGGGGGAGAACCTGAAAAAGTTAAGAAGCAAATGGTGGTGGTGGTAAAGGGTGTAGCTCAGTATTAGAGCCGTTGCCTAGTATGCACATGAAACCCAGCATACACATGTGTGCACACATACATATACCAAACACACACACACACACAGGGGGAAAAAAAGTAGATTCTTAACAGAATTTATAGTAGAAAAGAAATGTGTACAAGATGACTAGATTTTTTTTTTAGAGAGAGAGAGAGAGAGAGAATTTTTTAGTTTTTGGTGGACACAACATCTTTATTTTATTTTTATGTGGTGCTGAGGATTGAACGTAGCGCCCCGCGCATGCCAGGCAAGCGTGCTACCGCTTGAGCCACATCCCCAGCCCAAGATGAGTAGATTTTAATTTGACAAGAGAGGTTCAATGGTGCTTTCTTTCGGGGTGGAGAACCCAGAAGATAGAGTCTGATTGCAGATGGAGAGAAAGGTGGGGAGTTTGTTTGGAACAGTTTGAGTTGGAGTGACCTATGGGATACCCAGCAGGCAGCTGTGTATTCAGGGCTGCAGGTGAGTAACAGAAGTTGATAAAATATAGAAATAGGAGAAAACTCAGTTTTCTGCCAAGACAGTGGGGATCAGAAAATAAATGACAATCTGGGGCTAGGGTTGTGGCTCAGAGGCAGAGCACTCGTCTAGCATGTGCGAGGCCCTGGATTCGATCCTCAGCACCACATAAAAAAATAAATAAAATAAAGGTATTGTGAAAAAAATCTTTAAAAAGAAAAAAATAAATAAATGAAAATCTGACATTCACAAAGCCCTAGGTTTGATCCCCAACACAACAAAAGAAATGACTAGAGATAAAAAGATAAATTACTGAGGCTCTTCCCCTTTCCACAGACACAAATACACTGGAGGTTTCTCTTAATAGCAGTTTTATTTGACTCAACAGTGAAACTCAGACTCAGACCCTACCCATCCCCACCATGGGATCATGACTGGAGCAGACTTGTCCTGGTACTCATCAGCCTCTTACCAAGACACAAAGAAATAAGTATATGTATCAGGTCAGGAAGAGGCTCAGCTAGTACTGGCCAGGTAGGACTTAGCTAAGAGACAGGGGTGGGGGGATTGGTGCCACCCCAGACACATGCAGAGGAGGGGAAACTCATTCAGGGCTAGTTTTAGGGTCCAGGCTTAGAGTAGGCCTAGAGCAGGAGCAGGGACCTTCCAGCCAAGGGGCTCAATAGCTGTGAGTGGAAGATTTGTCAAGCTCACTATGCTGCTCCTTCTGGGACTCTGTCACCACCTGCTGGGGGCAAGGTATACAAGGGGCAGAAGGTTCAGCACCATGCTCCTTAGGTTCCTGGGGTCCCGTGCCTAGTACAACCAGCTGAGGCCAGTTTATCCATCCCCCTTCTCTGTCTCCATCGCTTCCCCAGGAACCACTCATCCTCAATACTCTCAAGATCTATAGCCAGGCTGGGGTTTGGAAGTACCATGGGTACCTGGGACAGGGGATTTGTCTTACCTCCCCATCCCGGGTCTCAATTGTTCGGATTAGAACCATCTTCCGGCTGTGGATGTCCTGGGAAGGCTCCATCTCAGGCACTAGAGAAAGCAGGGTGAGCGATAGAAGGGAAATTACCTGGGGGTTTCTCTTCTTTCAGGCTCTCACTCCCATTCCCAATGGGGGGGTCTCTTCTTTCAGGCCCCCACTCCCATTCCCAAGGGTGGGTAAGGCATGTCAAGAGGAGTAGGGACCAGTATAAATCAGGACTCGGTAGTTTCCTGGAGAGAACTGATCCCTGAGCGGAGCTAGAACAAGAAAAGTCCAATCAGAGCACAAGAGGACCAAGGGAGGTACAGGCTGGAAGTCAGATGCAGAGAACTCACCAGTTGTCTTTAAACTTAAAGAAGCAAAGGAATGGATGGGCACGGAGATCCTGTGGACCAAGCGCACAGTCAGCGTGCTCTGCCCAGGCCATTCCCATCCCTCTACCTGCCAAGCGGATCACTCCCTGCTCCACCCCCAAAGCCCCACCCCTCACCGGCTTTCTTCGCCCTCCAGCAATTTCCGGTAGGTTGCTATCTCGATGTCCAGGGCCATCTTGACGTTCAGAAGCTCCTGGTACTCACGCAAGTGCCGCGCCATCTCTTCCTTTAACTGTCGCAGCTCCTCCTCGAGCCTCGCAGCCCCAGCTTGGTACCCACCTGCCTCCAGGGCGAACTGCTCCTCCAGCTCCCGCAGCTGTCTGAGCAGCGCCTCATTCTGCGGTGGAGAAGGAGAAAGGAGTCAGCCAGGGAATCCTTCATCCTTTGTCCGCCACTCTCCACCTTTGGCCCGGGAGTGCAGCTTTTTCTCACAGTGCCGCGCAGCCCGTCCACTTCGCATGTCAGGCTCTGGATCTGGCGTCGAGACTCGTTCATCTCCTGCTTGGCCTGGCGCAGGGCCTCATGGTTCCGGTTGGCAGCATCGGACAGGTCTGCATACTGCGGGGTGAAAGAGTAATCAGGGTTGGAGTGGGCTGGGACAAGTGACACTCCTCAGCGTCTCCCCTCCTCAGGCTCTTTCCTCCCACTTCCCCATCCTTCCACTCCCGCAGCTCTCCCACCTTGGATTTGTACCACTCCTCTGCTTCCTGCAGATTCTTTGCTGCGATGTTCTCATACTGCGCCCTGATGTCCCTCAGCGCCGCGGTCAGCTCTGGCTTCACCGTGGCCTCTACCTCCACCTGCTGCACCTGCTGACTCTCCATGCTCACCTGCAGGTCTCGCAGCTCCTATTCTCCAGGACAGACAAAGAATGAGCCTACAGCGCAAATCCGAGCGGGAGTGCGCAGTTCACACCTAGATAAGAGAGGAAACACTTGAACAAATGGAATGGGGCTCCAGGTAGCGCAGAGCGCACAAGACTGCGCAACTTGCGCCCAGGCTGGTGCTAAACCAGCGGTCAAGTTCGGAGTGTAGTTCCAATGCCTACCAACAGGTGGCGCAGGGGTGGGAATCCAAACCACCTGTAGAGCAAGTGATGAGTGGCAGGTCTACCCAAGAAAATCTCACTTCTAATCTCCAGGGCGATTCCTTAACCCCACCCACTAATGTCCGCAGCTCCAATAAAGCCACTCCCAAACCTCCCCGGGTCACCTCCTCGTGCAGCTTCTTGAGGAACTCAATTTCATCCATCAGGGACTCAATCTTGCGCTCTAGTTCCAGGCGGGACAGGGTGGCGTCGTCCACATCCTTTGTGGGGGTGGAAATGGGGGTTCAAGAGAAGGAGGGACTGTTCAGGACAAGGAAGGGCCGAGCCTTCCCTATCTGCCTCTGGAGAGGACTTGGTTGCCTTCCCACGCCAATGGGACCCTGGGCAAGCAAGTCAGCGACAGGAGTAGAGAAGCGGAACTCGACGTGAAGCCGAGGCTCACCTTGCGGAAGAACACGAGGTTGTGCTCCGCTTCCTCTCTTTTTCGCGTCTCTTCCTCCAACCTGATGTGTAGAATGTTTAGAGACTGAGCTTCAGGTACTTCTCCCAGCCCTTGCCCCAAACCGTGTCCCCCAGGATCCCTGTTATTACTGCCCAGGACTTCTAGGGAAGGGGCTGCCTGGTAGAATCTCCCGTTTTTCTTTTCAAAGCTCTGAGAGCTGAGAAGAGGTCCCCTTAACACTTAGGGAAGGCATGGATATCCCCATCACCTCCCAGACCATTAGAACACGGGCGAGGATGCTGCCTGCACACACTCGGGTTGGCCCAGAGAACCACGCCCTGGGATTGCTGAATAAGGGAGAGAGATACTGTCGCCTCGACGGCCGTCGCCCAGCCCCAGCCCTGCCCCCTGACCTCTGTTTGAGCGCCGCCAGATCCTCTGCAAGCCCGTCTCGTTCCACCTGCACCCGGTCGCGCTCACGGCCCAGCAGCTCTAGCTCTCGCCGCAGCTCTCGCAGCTCTTGCTGGCACAGCTGGTCGGCGCGCGCTGGCTCCTGGCCCCGGGCCTGGCTCAACTCGCCGCGCAGGGCTGCATTCTGCTGCTCTAGAAAACGCACCTTCTCAATGAAGTTCGCGAAGCGGTCATTGAGCTCCTGTAGCTCTTGCTTCTCGTTGCTGCGAGTGGCCAGGAACTCCTGGTTGAGGGCCTCGGCCATGGAGAAGTCGAGGCGCTCTGAGGGCAGGCGCAGGGCCCCAGCTCGAGGGGCACGAAAGCTGCCCAGGCGCACCGAGGAACTCGGGGATGCCGAGCCCAGCAAGCGGCTGCTTGAGAAGCGCGAGCTGGACGAGTAGGAGAAGGCCCCGGGAGACAGTGAGGGTGGAGGCCCGAAGGTGCGGCGGTATGAGGTGGAGCTGATGCTGGCCCGGAGGCCCGACGGATGGTGGCTCATGACTGCTGGTGATCACCGCTCTCAGAGTTAGGACGGGGCGGAAAGGAGCCGCAGACAGCTGCGGGGCGGCTTTATAGCCCTGTGGTCCCCCGGAGGGGGGCACGAGCAGCTCCTCCCACTGGCCTGAGGGCCTGCTATAGCTGGGCTGTGTGGGGAGGGGGACGCCCCACCCTGCGGAACTTGCGGCGGCGCCGCTCCCTCCCCCGCCTGGGTGCGGGGCGCCCAGCCTACTTGATTCCCCCTGTTGCTGGAGCGGGTAGAAGCGGGAATGTGACTATAGACGGGGATGGGGTGGGGTAGGGGTCAGCGCCTTCCAGCAAGCATTCAAAGCTAGAGCCTAGGATGGGAAGTCTTGACTTGAATTGGGGTCCCTGCCCCGAATATTTGATAAAAATTATGGAATAGAAGGACCTGAGGTTAAAGGGCAAGCTTCTGGCACATGAATAATGAGGTTAGGTGGATGGAGAGCTGGCCTGGCCTGGGCCTCCACTTGCTCCACTTGCTGGAAACAGGGCCATCCTTTCACCTGCTGTCTGCGGCTGCCTCCTTCACCATACCCAGAAGAAATACGGGACAGGAGAGCAGAAGCAGAGGGGGCTGGGGAAGGGCTGATCTCTCCCTATTCCCCAGGGCCCTGTGAAGGGCTAGTGATTGGCGCCAGCTCTGCAGCTAATGGACTGACCAACTCCCCTCACCCTCCCCCTATCCCTGCAGAGGTTGTCTGCTGCTGATGTTTCCACCTTAAAGACACAGCCCCAAACCTGAACCTAACCCAGGCTGCAACAGGGCCGGTACTTCACAGGGGCCTGAGGAGGGCTGGGCCCAGCTCTTGGAGGATATGTGCCAGCCAAAGCCTGAGAGCTATGTGGGCCTGAGATATGTTGTCTGCCTTTACTGGATTCTCCCTCTCCCCCGCCTCCCTACCAACTGCTGCTCAGTCATGGGCTTTACGGGAACCAGGGCAATTCCTAAGGTACCAAGGGGAGGGGGCTGAGGGGCAGCAGCTACTGACAAGGCTGAACAGACTGGCCGGAACCGGTTTCCAGTATTGAGGAGTTACAGGTACCCAGGGATGGGCTGAGCTGGTGGGGATGGGGGAGACTGGGGAAAAGAGAAGGTGCCTAACCCCCTCCCTCCCCACACCATCTAAAAAGGAGAGAAAAGGCCCTGGGCAGATCCATAAACAGATACATATGCATAGCCCCTATACATGTGTACACACATTATACACACAAATATGCAACCATACATTCCTTTACACA